ATTATTCTGTTGATATGTAAACTCCTTTGTCAAGGCGCTCTGCTCCTCCCACCCAGCTTAAAATACGCTGCCAAGCTTAGCAGTGTTCATTGGAGCGCTGTCTTTCCGACAGTTCTGTTTCTTCACCTGAGGAAGGCTACTTGTGTTGTGGCCGAAACGTCGTGAGAATTTTATTTTATTATGTTTATTATTTTATTATTTCCCTTCTACGTGACTTTACCGAAAGAACCAAGAAGATGAATCCCTGCAGTCACGAAAGCTTTAAATCGAAATTTATTCAAATCAAGTTGTTTTCTTTTTACCACAGTACTTTATGGAATCCTCAAGAATAAATGCATTTTTAGAAGTATTAAACTACACTTGAAGATGTGTGAGAATGTAATTCTGCAGATGCAAGCACAGGCAAACTCGTATCTGCATATACAAGTTTCTGGGCCTCCTCACTTCACCAAACCCGCATTGACCGGCATGGTGAAGTATGGTTAAACAACTCCCACGAACGACATGGTGTGGGGGAGGCCTCTATCAAAACGCTGGATCGACAAAGGGCTGATACATGTCACGACATTGTACGTTAAGATCGTTCTCTCGTCAGCACAAGCCGTCTATGTGGACAATAGAGGGCACGACACACGTGTACACGATGTTTGTGTGCGTATATTCAGCGTGTGTATCACGTAATAATTATATAAGGTCGCGATTATGCTCAAAACGAACCAAATGTATAACATCACGAATAACTTTGGAGGTCTCCAGAGCCTGAACAATATTTGAAGTAGACACTGACCCTTGTCACGAGTTCTTATGAACTATAAACTAAACTATAAACTATTTCTATTTAACCAGGTAAGGCCCACTGAGCTATATAACTCTTATCAGAAGCGACCTGGACACAAATGATAGCTCAACGAAAGTGGCTTATCATGTGGACATTTATAGCAGTCAAGTACTCTAAACTCACGTTTCTAAATGTGGAGGGGAAAACCGAAGGACCAGGAGAAGAATCTACGCGACCACAGGGGAAAAAAATAAACAAATACAGAGCAGGCGTCAGGGTCTGGATGGAACCTCCACGCTGCTGTAGGCCTAGCGAGGTAGTTAACATCTCGACACCGCGGCGCCCCTTATTAAAAGCTTAGCCATGTCTAGCAAGGTTATTGACTCATTTCACTCGACTCACGGCACCACAAGTAATGTATTAAACAAATAAAACAATAATAAAGTAGAGAGGCGCTACTTACATTTAACAATGTTGTTGTTAACTTTAAAAGGAGCGCGCTTCTCTCTGGCTTGCAGTCCGGCGATCGCGGTCTCCTCTGCGATTGGTCAGCGCAGGCGTCACCCAGGGTGACACTCCACGCCCCCTTTGTTATTGCGCGCGGCCCCTCCTCAAACTTCCAAGTTAGGCCACGCCCCACAGCATTGCACCGCCCACTGTCGGTCAAGCCACGCCCCCAGGTGTCAGGCCAAGCTCTGCCCAGGGTTAAAGCCCCACGTCCACAATATGAATATTTATTTATATACTGGAGGAGGAATCCTATGAGCTATTAAGATTCTTTTTTTTCACAGTTATCCAGTAAGCGCGGGTCAGAACGTTACAAAAACAAGACAAAATAACACCATAGGAGTGCACACAGAAATGTAAACAAATCACTTAAATACTGTATATACAAATCACATACTTTTTTATTTATTTAAAGCTTTCGTGACTGCAGGGATTCATATTCTTGGTTCTTTCGGTAAAGTCACGTAGAAGGGAAACAACAAAATAATTAAAAAATATATATAAAACAATAAAATTCTCACGACGTTTCGACTGCAACACAAGCAATCATCATCAGGTGTGAAAACCACAACAAGAAAATTTGAAAAAAAACTTTACCGAAAGAACCAAGAATACACTTAAATACTGTATATACATATAGAATGCAATGTTGTATTCATCTGATCCTGCGTATCGCCTTCACATTGGCGAGCAGCGTCTATGAAGGCCGGAACGGCACACGAGGTGGTGGTGGGGTGGACATCACCACACGCTTGGCTGTCTTTGTCTCCCGAGTGGCGATGTTTACACACCGCTCCAGGTGCTCATTTGAAGCCGCCGGATTCGAGCTCGGGGAGAGGTCCAGGACCGGTTCAGATCTTCTTCACTGATGGTGTTGGTTGGTGACCGTGAGTGGGACTCGAACTCTGAGTCGCCGCCGGGTTCGGATGGACAGACTCCCGGTGCGAGGCCGACTCGTTTAACATCTCGCCAAGGATCGCTGAGCTGAACAAAATTGTTAGTCGGTTAAGTGCGAGTTCGCGTTGTCATTTGATGTTTCAAATAACAAATATCACGGGCGCTGGAAGTGCGGATATTTGTTAGTGGGATGTTCGGAAGTCGAGGGCTGTCTGTGCTGTACGACTATGAATGAACAAAAAAAACTGAACTGGAAAGCTCGTGGAAAGATATTAGTGCAGACAAGTTTGTAAGAAGCCGTTTGCAGGCTTTTTGGCACTGAAGACGCTATAGCTCGCAGTGGATGTGGTGCACATGAAGATGCAGAGTGCTCCGAATGCACCTCTATTAAACATATGTTTAAGGTACCTCAATGTTTAAATCAGCATCGAAGGATAAAACTATATCCTGCGCTTGAAGCAAGCGATGTAATTTCAAGACATTCTGATGCCAGCCACATCTGTTAGTTCGTCCAAAGGAATTCGAACATGTGACTTTATGACTTTGCACAACTTTGGGGCCGTCCATAAATGACGTCACGCGATTTTGAACGATTTTTGACCCCCCCCCCCTAGTCACACGGCGTCACAAAAAGTCAGACCCCCCCCCTCAAATATGACGTCACAAAGCTCTGCCCCCCCCCCAAAAAAAAATATGCTTCAAATCGCTTTAAACTGTTGTCATTGTAGTGCGTATTTAATATGGCGCTGCACTCTGATGTTGTAGGAGAAAACATTTATTAAAAAGTATATTTAATTAAGTAGAACGTGTTGTTTATATTTATTTTGAGTTGCGCATTTAGATGTGACGTCACATTTCTCAAACCCCCCCCCTCGTCACAAATGTCTGACCCACCCCCCTAGGTGCATGATGTCATTTATGGACGGCCCCTTTACTACAAAAGTCAAATTCAACAAAAGTTACATGCAGCCTTCAATTTATTCCATAAGTAATAATGAAAAGAAAAAACATGGCTTATTGACAAAAAAAGGCTTTACACATTAAACATAACACCACAAATCCTTTAGAAACATAATTTCACGTAGTATTGATGTACAAACCTTGGCAAAAGAGCCGTATTTGCTGGGAAACTTCACAACATATGAGTATGTATGATGAACTTATTTCGTGCCGTACGCAGCCAACCCTGCTAATCGGAGTTGCAGGGGAGGATCACTAAACACAAAAAGTTGTTCTAAATACAAGGGTTGGCGAATAACAGTCTCTGATCACCACAGCTTAACATTTTACCAGTAAAAGTTTGCATCGGACTATAATTTGCAAGTCTGATAAATAAAATTAAAGTGTCTCAGTCAACAGTGGAGAGGCATTATTGTCTGCCCTTGATTTGAAATCTGATATAGCACCAATCCCTTGCCCTTTAAAACAAAGATGCTACCCTGCCACTTTGTGTTGTAACAGAAGAAACATTTCAAAATTCAACAACATTGTCATGGAGCAATCTTACAAAACATGTTTTGTTTCTAAACATTTCAAGCAATAATTGATAAAATTAAATGAAACCCAATGCATTACATTTGAGATAGCCATACTTTTTATTTTTGTTACTTTGTTCAAAGTAACTTTGTCCAAAGTAACTTGTTCTTTCCCCCCACATCCGATTAGCATGGGCGGCTACGAACGGTGCGAAAGAAGTGCAACATATATCGAATATACCTGGTAAATATGAATTCGTTTAAACTATGGTTATTGAAAATGCTTACATGGGTTATGCAAAAATGACATGATTTATTATCACCGATAGAATATGAATAAACTAGACATCACGGCCAGCTGGTCCAAAGTCAGACACAATCAGGAAAACTATTTCCATCAACATTAATCTACTCTTATGTAAATGTATGTTATTATTGTGCTAAAACACCTCATAATGTGTCGTTTAAGCTAAATATTAGCCTAAAATTAAATGCACAGCTCCAAACAAGGATGGATTTCAAAAGCAAGGGGGTCAAATGTATATTATCTTAAATTATACTCCAACCAGCAATCATGGTTAACTTAAAGCCCAACTATAACCTCTTCAAAATTATAGATGTTGTACCATAAATCAGCTCAAGTAACCGATGGTTAATCACACCACACACATCACCCCAGGATATACAACGTAAGCACAGGCCAATCCATGATTGGAATGTTCGCTTTTGTTTGGAAATCATGAGCACTTGTAAGACATTCAACAATAATCTCTACGTGATGGTTAAAGATATCATAAAGCACCTCTCGTGTCGGGTTCATCTGCAGACAATAAATCTGAAGTAATATTAAAGCTGTCACCTGCATGCCGGCGAAGGCGATTGTGCACAATCTTCCAATTAGTTTCAATGTCGCACCCAAACGTTATAATGGTAACCTAATTTCATTTGTTTTAAAGCAGTCGTACAAAGTAAAAATGCACAACCGCAAATGGCTGCAAGTCGGAAAAAAGCATCGCCCTGTGTTGTCAGGATAAACGAACTTTGCAGCAAACATGGCAACATGTGTCACGGCCAACTGCTTTCTTCGCAGATGGAAAGCCAGCGTCCTTTGCAGAGAGTGTTAATAAGGGAACGTCCCTTCACGTAGAAATACTTGCAACTGGTTCGTTATTTTATAAAAAAAATTTGATGACCTGAATTAGCAAAATGCTTCAAACCTTTGATTTAAAGCTTTCGTGACTGCAGGGATTCATATTCATGCAGGGATTCATATTCATGTTTATTTCGGTAAAGTCACGTAGAAGGGAAACAATAAAATAAGAAAAATATAAAACATTGTTGTGGTTTTCACACCTGATGTTGATTGCTTGTGTTGCAGTCGAAACGTCGTGAGAATTTTATTGTTTTATATTTTTATTTTATTGTTTCCCTTCTACGTGACTTTACCGAAAGAACCAAGAATATGCTTCAAACCTGTTTAATATTACTGCATAACGTTCAGTTGTAGCGGTGGTCTTTGCAAATCGAGCTCTTTAAGTACTAAAAGGTACTTTTTATCTTGTGTATACCTCTACTACCTTCATGTAACTAGGACGAGCGTGGTTAATTACCAAACGCAACAACCCAAGTACAACATTCGGGAGGAACCATGTAGATGGTAAATTGTGCAGGGTTCCAGCCTTCCTCTTCATACTGAAACTCTGCCTGCAACTCTCATCTGGACAGAGGCCTCTGAACCGCAGTCATCATTGGGCGACGTCTGGCCGTGGAGAAGTCTGGTGAGAAAAGCGACAGGGCCCACATTTAAGTGGGCAGTGGCGGCCAGCAGTGAATGAGCAACAGGAACCCACAACAAAGATACAGGGGCCTCCAATTGACCCATTTAATGCACGTGTGGGTAGCGGCGAAGGTAAAGCGCTGTGTGAAACAGACCGCAAGAGTGAACATTGTATCTGGCTTTGGTGTTGCCGCTGTAGACTGCAGTGCTATGATGAGATGTTCACTCTTTGTAGGATCATCGGCAACAATTCTTGTAATGTTATTTTTTTAATGTATCTTGACGAGTAATTGGTAATTCTAAAACTCGGGAGTAAGCACGTGATCTGCCAGCTCAGATTGGCATCTCAGAGGAGGGAGGCTCCACTTGTTTTGGACTCCTACAATTTAAATCTGGTTAATCAGCTAAATTGTAATAAAATTTTAAGCAATGATTGCTAACGTTATGATTGTAATATTATTGGCGATTTCAGGTGTTAAATATCAATAAGCATGAGATAATTTTGGTGTGAAAATCACACCACAAGACATGATTCTTGAGTCACAGAGCTGAGGGAGAACACAATGCAGAGTAGCATTATCGAACGCTGACAGGTTTATCACGTGTATCAATACTTCAACTTTAATGTGCAAATGTATGGAGGGACTGTGTGTTGTCTTAAGTGTGGTCTGGGATTAATTTTGTTATGCTACCTTGCCCAAGATTGCATTTGGTGCATTGTGGCAGGAATTGATGCACTAATGCAATTTGAACTCTTATATATTTTTATTTCATGACTTAGCGTTCCTATCTGTTTGTATTGTTTGTTGTTGTCACTTTCTGACTCGCCCCGACTGCACATGTGTGAAAAAAGAGCTTCATAGCTCATCAGATTCTTCCAGCCTAATTAAAGATTCTGATTCCGATATTAACTGACCGAGTTTTCTCGTGGAGATCACGGCCAGCAGGCAGGACAAAGAGACCCCCGTTCACACTCACGTAGGATGCCCAGGGCATTGCACAGCATTTAAATGGACTAGTTTTGTGAGATTTAGTGGTGGCTTAGGGAAGGCCTTTATCCAACAATGTATATATCTTGATTTAAAGCTTTCGTGACTGCAGTAATTCATATTCTTAGCTCTTTCGGTAAAGTCACGTTGAAGGGAAACAATAAAATAATAAAATATATTATTTTATTGTTTCCCTTCAATGTGACTTTACCGAAAGAGCTAAGATTATAATGTATATATCATGGCCGATAATATTGTTTATAGTCATACACCATAGCCCACGATTTCCTGCACCTTTCATTCACTTGAGGAGACCGCGCATGGTGGAGATGGATGACCCTCGGTATCCTGTCCCAAAGTGATTCCAGTGATTCAGGTAGTGGAAGAGTTGGTAGAGCTTCTGGCGCTTGCCAAAGCCTTGTGACTTTGGGATGAGAGCGTGGTAGGATGAGTAAAACGTGGAGCTAAAGCTCGCGAACATCCTGTAGCCAAACAACACCAAACATACAATACCTTACAATGGTGCTGTTCCAACATGAACAACATAACAACGAACAACGAAACATGGATCACAATGCAGGTAATTGAGTGGCTCGAGGTTAATTTTAATGTCAGAGCACCGAGCCAATGCCATTGAGGTCCTCCGTTCAATATTCAGTGAGCCATCTATCAACAAACGTTCCTGCGAATAAAGTGCAGGAATCTCTTGTGGTCTCAACTTGGTCACCAATGGCTGCTCATCATGTTAAATGTGTTTTTGTTCACTTTAGCATATCACTGAAGCATATTCCAGCTCCGAGGGTTTAAATTACATTTGACGTGTAATGAATTATCTTCAGCTTGGATTCCTAGTAAAGCACATCAGTGCAACTTGTCTCTGAACCAGGGCCTCCTTGTTTGACAAATTGAGTTTCTGGAACATTCAAGCACCGTATTAGCCTTAACAGCACTTGCCCAAAAAGCCTTAGCAAGGAAGGATGAGTCTTTGAAAGTTTGCAAATAGAGAGGGTGGAGACCTCAGCATGTAGACATCTGAACCACAACTCTACTTGGTCTATGTTATTTATTTTATGAGCCAGCCATTGACACCTTGAGGTGATACGAATGAATCTTGCTTGCCACAGACAGGGCAGTGAACGGCAGTTGCTGCTATAGTTTTGTTTCTTAGTTGTTTTACCCAGAGATGGCAAGATCGTACTCCGAGTGCCCATAGAAAGAGGCTGGGTCAAAGATGACGGGCCCTTCATTCATCTCTGCAGCATTCCCAGTCCATAGGTCACCGTGCAGCAGTGCCGGAACCACCTCCACGTCCCGGAAAAAATCCCCCAACCGTAGCTGCACACCACACAACAAACAACACCACTTTATTCATGATAACGTTTTTTTGGGTTAGATCGCATAAATTGACATGCGTCGTACACCCACCAATTGCCAGAACGCTTCTGACAATTGCCTGATGATGCTGGTTGTAATCACCAGTGAAAGGTTGTACTCGTTGTAAATGTTCTGAGTTTGCTCTCTAACACACTGGAGTGCTGAAGTAGTAACAAAAATTGCACGTTCTGTTCATGTCAGAAACCTTACTAATTGGCTGTGTTGTGTGGATGTGGGTGGTAGGACGCATTTAAACTTACGCGATCTAACCCAAACAAACGTTATCATGAATAATATTGGTCACGAAAGCCTGCGTGTAAAATACCACTTTACCTTTAAAGTCGCCTCAAAAAACCACTGTGATAAAATGGGTGTCCGATATGGCTGTGCACATGATGCTCCACACTGCTGCGTGTATTAAGGGCGAGAGTGAAACGGACGGCTTACGAACCTGAAGCTGAGACCAGAGCTCGCGGGTCTGCCGGTCACCGTAGTCCTTCTCTATCATGTCCAGCTGAAGCTGCAGTCGTTGCCGTGAGAAGAACGTCACCCAGTCCTCCTGCCACTCATTCAGCTGGTGGAATAAATATAGGTTTAGTACGAACATTAAAAAACGTAAGCATATAATACCTACTTTCTTTGGCCAATCCTTGACCCAAAACAGTGTTATTCACTAATTTTCAGAGGGGGGGGGGGGGGGGTGGGGGGCATTTTCGCGGTGAGACATTGTCAGTGGAAGGGCCGCCACACATTTGAAACCATGGGGTTTGACAGCATGATGGGGTGTTTTCACTTGTGTGTATTGTCAGGGGCTGCACGTCAGGGGCCGCACTAAAGGACACCAGGGGCTGCCAGTGGCCCGCAGGCTTTGCAATGAAGAACACCGACTTAAGGTGTCACCCAGCGACATTGAATTTCACGTACAAGTGGCTGGGTAATTCTTAAGACGTAATTCGATACCCATGTTGTGTACCGATTATCATGCTGTAGTCTTTGAACATCTCAGTTCAGCCACCAACTGATATCCTTATCAATAACAATTAGAACAGCATTGATCCCAATGATAGGTTCTGTGCTTAATTCCCACACCTCCGATTAGCACGGTTGGGTACGTTCAGTGCGAAAGAAGTTCAACATACATTTATACAATTCTATCAAACCCGGCTCTGAGTGCAATTGGTAATTAGCGAAAACATATATGACCATGTGAACACTGAGGTATAGACCAGTGGTTATGCAAGATTGATCTCCGAAGGATGTTAAGTGACAGCTGGTGATGTCAGTTGTAACTGTCTCCCTAGTTGTCAATAGTACAACTGTGTGCAATGGAAGAAAATATATGCATTTTTCATCAAACACATTGTTATATAAATTTGTGTACTTATGCAAGATAAAATGTATGCCAAGCTAGTTCTTCTTAAAACGTAACCTTAAACCAATGTTACCATCATCAGTGGTAAATAGACTATTACGTGGACTCTCATATTTCTGATTTCACCACTCCATGACAAAATAAAATAAAAATTATTACTGTTCCTATAAAACTTGGGTCACCTAGGCTGTCCTTCAACAAAAAGGGTCTATTAAATCCAATGGGCCACAACAAGTTTAATGACTTTGCAACGGAGATCACCTGTGGGATGTAACCACAGCTTGTAGCCGTATGAAACCCAAACTTGTCCACATACTTCACATCCTCCTGCCCAGGGACCTTACCTGTTGGAGAAATTAAAGACTGACATTTTTATCAAAATCTGTAAAGCACCTTAATTTAGCAGTCTCAAACTGACTGGGACCCCTGTCGTGACTTGAGCAGCTGAACATTGCATAAAATCATGAACGCATATACAGATATATACCGGGGGTGGCCAACTTTCCTGACCCGACCAGCAACATACCATAATCTTCAGATAGCCGTGGGAGCCACAAGAGACAAATATTGGCCACACAGAAGTTGACTCTTGTCGACCGGTTGTGGAGTTTTGAGTTTAGAAATCTGAGGGAGTACTCATGGCCTGGCTTCGATACCAGATTTTTCTCACTTTATATGAAGTTAAATTTAAAATTTACAAATTAGCTGCGCCTCTGCAGAGCCACACTTGAACTGCCCAGCAACCGCATGCAGCTGCCGAGCGATGGTCTGGCCAACCCTGGTATTTTCTGTACCTTCTAGACTTGTGAATATAATGTGTATATATATATAAAAAAATGCCCTTTAATGAATACATAGCAAAACTACATGAACTCCCTCGTAAAGTCTTCGTGTGGCTAGCAGACCTTGGCATTTATCTCCTGAACATATTGCGATTAGCAAAAATAGAATGGAACACAATGTTGAATACTCTGGTCTCCTTTGCAGAATAGTTTGCCTTGATGGACTGAAATACGGATAATTTGATAACTAAAATCCATACGAACCTTATGGTGGGACCCCGGGGTCCCATAAGTCCCCGGCTCTCGCGTAAACATTATATTATAATGTGAACATAAACTTTGATCTTTTTCACCAATGGTTTTGAAGGATGGTGGCAAGTGTTGTCTTGTTAAACTATGCCTTTAAAACTGAAAACTACTTACCTGCAGTACCTCTATTTAAATACACTATCGAAAACATAATTTACTCCCCTCTGTCAATCATCGTGTTTCTCAGTGTGGATTTGTGAACACACTTGTTAAACAATACATAAAATAGTACGCGTTTTCAATGCACTGTTCATATTGTAACAATGTTACTCTATGCTCCTCTTATCCACATTTATATGAGCGGTATGTGGACAAGAGACGAATGATCAAACGGGAGGAATTAACGGTGCAATGCATCTCATTTAATCCATCTTCTCGATTGAGATTGAGCAATCATTGGAAGGATGTGATAAACTGCGTCAAGTTTCAACTGCTATGATTTTCACTCACCCACCCGTGTGTCTTGTTGTCCGATTACTAATTCAAGTCCATTTTTTTCCAGCCCCACCCGTCCATGCACGCCACAAACCCTCCACTCTTCTCCCCTGTGAACTCCTACAGCCAAACTCCTTCCCCCTGTCCCTCTCCCCTCCCGTGCCTAACTCCTACAGCCAAACTCCTCCCGCCTGTCCCTCTCCCCTCCCGTGCCTAAATCCTACAGCCAAACTCCTTCCCACCCGGTCCCTCCCCCCTCCCGTGCCTAACTCCTACAACCAAACTCCTTCCCCCCACTTCCCTCCCCCCTCCCGTGCCTATATAAAGCCACAAGATTAGATATTTTTTTCTCACCTGAAGACGGGCGCTTGTGTTGTGACCAAAACGTCGTGTTTTCTTTTATTATTTTTTCTATCTACGTGACTTTACCGAAAGAAGCAGTGAGTATGGATTCCTGCAGTCACAAAAGCTTAAAATCAAGATTACCCAACATAATTCATATTCTGAAAAGTACATTGCACACACATGAACAATACAATTCCCTTAATTACAAAGGTAGCTAAAACAAAGAGGTGATTGCGATTAACTGTGAAAAATCACGACCACTGGCTGGCTGGTTGTGTTCATGTACGAAATAATGACAGCAAGTGTCTGTACCTCATTCACTAGCTCAATGGTTTGATTTTCATGATTAATAAACAGCTGTGTAAACATTTGTTTGTTTACACACAGATTGTTTACCACACATTCATTAGATCCCATTAGCATGCCGACTCTTGGTGCAACAACAGTTCTACATACATACATAGTTGACATGATGCTAGGGTTGGATCTGTGGGCCTAGTTTCGCACGCGTCTTATACATTTTCATGATTCAATACCGATATTTTTCTCTTCCTTGTGAAGCCTCTCTCCAATCTTCTTGTTGTGAAGGTGCATTTCAGCCAGCTGTTGTCCCAACAAGCCTGAGCTGCTGTCAGAGTGTATAACACAATAGACCTGTCAATGGAAACATGCATTTTGTAACGTCAATAAACCCCAAGTGACAATTTATATGCAAAGTAAACTACGTCATATTTATCGAGGTGGTCTGTGGCCGAGAAGCCAGCTTGAAAATACACTTCCTGGGAAGTCAATCCTATGTAGACTATAAACTAAGGCATATTTTTTTTTATTTTACCAGGCAAGGCCCACCGAGCTATATAGCTTTTTTTTCAGAAGCGACCTGGCCACAAATGATAGCTCAATGAAGTTGGCTTATCACGTGGAAATACTTATGTTTCTAAATGTGGAGGGAAAAACCGGCGAAACCGGAGAAAAATCTGCACGACCACGGTTGTGTTGCGATCGAAACGTCGTGATATATTATTTGTATTTTATTTTTCTACCTATGTGACTTTACCGAAAGAACCAAAAAGTATGGATTCCTGCATTCACAAAAGCTTCAAATCAAGATGAAACTAGCCTATTTAAGAAACCAATGACCATTTTTTTTACTTGTTCCAAATGTAAAGGCAAAAGCAGACATGGTGAATTAAGTCATGAGAATTTGAGTACATTAAGTTGAGTCAACAGCACGAGGTGAAAAATATGGTTGTATATAGTTTTATTACGTTCAGATAGAAATTAGTGGACTTCAATATCAATTAATACAGTGTTTTTCTGGCCAAAGCATTGACGTGAAATTTAGCCACTAACATTTAAATCCACTTTTTAATTACGACTCACTGCAACTGATGACTCGTGTCGCAAGCTTTGATGTGATGCGGTCATAATAGCTTAGTCTATTATGACTCAATAATGCACACCAACCTGCTGAGACTCTTCATGTCCAGATGTTCCATCACGAGCAAAGCCCCACCCGTGGGGATCTCGATCACCTTCATCTGCTTGGGCACACGCACCGTGCGTGTGGATGCAATGGCTTCCAAGCTTGCAAACTCCCCATCAAACATGCACTTGGCCTAAAGGACACGACACAGCCTCCAGTCACTTTCACAATGCATTAGAGCAAAAACTATTGTGAACCCTTGACCATCAACAACACGCCATCAATCGCAACTAAGTAACGATGTCACCACAGCGTTTGTACCAGACAAGGTGCACTTTGAGGCCACGTGAAGCGTCGAAAGCTCGCATACAGGGCACGGGACAGACCCAGGTGTTTTGGGTTAACTGCCTGAGATGACTTGCTGACAACGTTATGCGTTGTATGCGCCCGTTGTTGTAAGTGTCGCTCCATCTGCTGTTAATGGAGGATGACTGCACCCAACTTCCCAGTATCATCCTTCGCGAGCCTCTTCCAAATGCTAATCTTGATACAGCTGGAACCAGTCATCGGCCTTGACCTCACACCCCACAACAGCCTAATTTTAAAAGCTCAACATGAAAACACAATGATGGGTCGCTTGCACCAATCTCACACCATCACAGCATTGACTCAACTGTAACTTGTGCAGAGGGGGTCACATGTGTCACCATAATTGTCCTAATCCTACAACTCGTTCTACGCAATATTTTCCTTGCCATATTACCCGTGACAAACATAATGTGCACAACCGGTAAATCAAATGAAAACAGAGGTGGGCAACCTCTACTTTTAAATATTAATTGCAGGCAATGTGAACACGACTTACAGAAACACTGACGCAGCTATACACATGCCAGATTGTCCAGATATTCGGTTGATGCGAAGAGGGTTTATTTGCCAGTATTGTACATTATTTGAATTACATTTGTTTGGGTGGCAGGGTGGTGCAGTGGTAACGCCCAGGCATCACATCTTCTGAAGGACTGCCTGGCTTCGCTTTCCTCATTCTGGTCCCTTTCTCTGTATGGGTTTACTCCCATAGCAAAACAACAACAACATACAATGTAACTGGTACTAGCCAAACATCCAAATTACTCCTGCGAAAAGTTGGCAGGCCCCTCCTGAAAAAATAGTCTTGAGACTCAGTGAGGCTTTCCCAGGGAAACAAGCCTACTAACAACATTGTTTCACTGCATGTGAAAAATAAAGATTTTCAGTATTAAATCTCAGTGGCTGATTTAATTGAAACATCAAGTTACGTTCAAGTGATAATTGTAACTGGCACACAGTATTCCTTCACTTTGGCGCGAGGAACTACAGATGAGGGAAGGCGGCAGTCAAATGGTGAGCAGCTGGCAACAAATCCCCCCCCCACCACTCCTGCCCATGCTCTGTGGTCCTCTTTATATAAAGATGTTATCGGCCAATTAATGAGTGTTTACATGTGGGGAGGAAATCGGATCACCTGGAGAAATCCAAGCTAACGAGGGGGCAACGCTCTATCAAATCTATGGATGGAACGGGCGGAGTCCACATTTTGATACCGCCTTCTCCAGGGTATGAGACCTCCTTGACGACCAATGGGTGGGAGTTGTCACAACATTTTTGTGATCCATCAACCTTCACCTCCACGTAGTCGTGGATTACAGGCATACATCGCCACCACAACCACACGGCTACAGTTGCTGTAATGCACATCTAAAATTCTACAAAAGTTGATGGGGTAAAGGTCGTAGGTCAATTGGTTTGATTTCTATGCGCATTAACCAGTCTCTAACGTATGCACATTTAGATTCGCATTCGGCCGCCAATGGAACAGGTGGAGTCCAAAAGCAAAGTGGATGTACTGATTGTATCTTCATTGCGGGACTCATCCAGCAGTGGATTGACATAGGCTTCAGGTATCCACGTGTGGACGGGCAATGAACACTGGGGCCACCTGGCGGTAAATGTTTGCCGGTGCACATTGGGACCGGCTCACACGTCACTGGCCCCAGGCAGCCCCCAGCCACTGGCGTGCAACACAGCGAAGGGAATCTCCCACCAATGAGAACCACGCACAACCCAGGGTGCAGTCCTATAACTTGGACTTGCAAACACAACAAAACCCATAGCCGCCAACCCACACGGTTTACCCGTATTCTGTTGGGGGAAAGTGAGTTGTCAGGTCCATACGGCAGACGGCCGTTTCAATACGGGCAACATTTTTGTTAAGTTTATTTGTGTGTTTCTCCCTTGTCATGGGACTTATAAGGGGCACGGGGTGACCAACAAGGTCTGAATTGTTCTGTAATAAGGTAGGCACTGATGAGGGGTTGACAGCGATGCAAACCCCACACAATACAAAACGCCAAGCGGCCAGCAACAATAAAAAATAATAATACATAACTGTCCAATGAGTAATTAGATAATTAAGATCAAAGAAACGCGTTCCTTAAATTGATCAAGTTTATTGTTGCAAGAGTTTGGGAAAACAGGAAGACCGGGTGTGGATTCCAGAGTGGAGCAGTGCAAACTGATAAATCTGAAAAGAAGAGTGAGGTGGCCTGCATGGTGGTGAGCGGGTGGGTGAGTAAATGGGTGAGTGTTTGAGTAAACGAGTGGAGGAGTGTGTGATAGGGTGATTGAGTCAGTGACCGGATGAGTGGGTGACTGGATGAGTGGGTGACTGGATGAGTGGGTGACTGAATGCATGGGTGACGATGTGTGGGTGATTAGATGAGTGGGTGATAGGGTGATTGAGTGAGTGACTAGATGAATGGGTGACTGGATGAGTGGGTGACTGGATGAGTGGGTGACTAGATGAGTGTGTGATAGGGTGATTGAGTGGGTGACTAGATGAATGGGTGACTGAATGAGTGGGTGACTGGATGAGTGGGTGACTGGATGAGTGAGTGACTAGATGAGTGTGTGATAGGGTGATTGAGTTAGTGACTGGATGCGTGGGTGACTGGATGAGTGTGTGATAGATTGATTGAGTGGGTGACTGGATGCGTGGGTGATAGGGTGATTGAGTGAGTGGGTGACTGAGTGAGTGGGTGACTGGATGAGTGGGTGACTAGATGAATGGGTGACTGAATTAGTGGTTGACTGGATGAGTGGGTGACTGGATGAGTGAGTGACTAGATGAGTGTGGGTGATAGGGTGATTGAGTGAGTGGGTGACTGAGTGAGTGGGTGACTGGATGAGTGGGTGACTAGATGAATGGGTGACTGGATGAGTTAGTGACTGGATGAGTGGGTGATAGGGTGATTGAGTGAGTGACTGGATGAGTGGGTGACCGAGTTGTTTAGTTGAGTGCGTTGTTGTGAACTGCAGTGAGGCGCGGTGGTTGAACGCGGAGTGAATGAGACGAAGCGGTCAAAGTTTCTGGTAGACCGAGTCCCTTAACGTGGGTGGAGGGGGGAATCAACGAGGTGAAGTTCACTGCAACATTCACCACGGTGGTGGGAGTACAGTGCGGGAAAAAAGTATTTGATCCCCTGCTGATTTGTACATTTGCCCACTGACAAAGAAATTATCAGTCTATAATTTTAATGGTAGGTTTATTTAAACAGTGAGAGACAGAATAACAACAACAAAATCCAGAAAAACGCATGTCAAAAATGTTATAAATTGATTTGCATTTTACTTAGGGAAATAAGTATTTGATCCCTCTGCAAAACATGACTTAGTACTTGGTGGCAAAACCCTTGTTGGCAATCACAGAGGTCAGACGTTTCTTGTAGTTGGCCACCAGGTTTGCACACATCTCAGGAGGGATTTTGTCCCATTCCTCTTTGCAGATCTTCTCCAAGTCATTAAGGTATCGAGGCTGACGTTTGGCAACTCGAACCTTCAGCTCCCTCGACAGATTTTCTATGGGATTAAGGTCTGGGGACTGGCTAGGCCACTCCAGGACCTTAATGTGCTTCTTCTGGAGCCACTCCTTTGTTGCCTTGGCCGTGTGTTTTGGGTCATTGTCATGCTGGAATACCCATCCACGACCCATTTTCCATGCCCTGGCTGAGGGAAGGAGGTTCTCACCCAAGATTTGACGGTACATGGCCCCGTCCATCGTCCCTTTGATGCGGTGAAGTTGTCCTGTCCCCTTAGCAGAAAAACACCCCCAAAGCATAATGTTTACACTTCCATGTTTGACGGTGGGGATGGTGTTCTTGGGGTCATAGGCAGCATTCCTCCTCCTCCAAACACGGCGAGGTGAGTTGATGCCAAAGAGCTCCATTTTGGTCTCGTCTGACCACAACACTTTCACCCAGTTGTCCTCTTGAATCATTCAGATGTTCATTGACAAACTTCAGACGGGCATGTATATGTTCTTTCTTGAGCAGGGGGACCTTGCGGGCGCTGCAGGATTGAAGTCCTTCACGGCGTAGTGTTACCAATTGTTTTCTTGGTGACTATGGTCCCAGCTGCCTTGAGATCATTGACAAGATCGTCCCGTGTAGTTCTGGGCTCATTCCTCACCGTTCTCATGATCATTGCAACTCCACGAGGTGAGATCTTGCATGGAGCCCCAGGCCGAGGGAGATTGACAGTTATTTTGTGTTTCTACCATTTGCGAATAATCGCACCAACTGTTGTCACTTCTCACCAAGCTGCTTGGCAATGGTCTTGTAGCCCATTCCAGCCTTGTGTAGGTCTATAATCTTGTCCCTGACATCCTTGGAGAGCTGTTTGGTCTTGGCCATGGTGTAGAGTTTGGAATCTGATTGATTGATTGATTGCTTCAGTGGACAGGTGTCTTTTATACAGGTAACAAGCTGAGATTAGGAGCACACTAATCTCAGCTCATTACCTGTATAAAAGACACCTGGGAGCCAGAAATCTTTTTGACTGAGAGGGGGTCAAATACTTATTTCCCTCATTTGAATGCAAATCAATTTATATCATTTTTGACATGCGTTTTTCTGGATTTTTTTGTTATTCTGTCTCTCACTGTTCAAATAAACCTACCATTAAAATTATAGACCGATAATTTCTTTGTCAGTGGGCAAACGTACAAAATCAGCAGGCGATTAAATACTATTTTCCCTCACTGTAGTCGCAGCGAAAAAAAGAGTGATACTGGTGCACGTGGAAAGACATTAATGACAGGGCTGAATGAAGGTTGAGGAGAGGCGAGTATGCGACGTGGCGAGGTGGCGTGGTGAGGAGGTGTAGAGGAGGCGTAGAAGAGGGTACCCCGCTCTTGGCGTTGATCTTGGCGAACACGCGTCCATGCCCCGTCTCGTAGCTCTGCCCGGCGCTGATGCAGCCTCCACCGGCCGCAGCGCCCAGCGGCCTCACCGAGTCCGTGCCCAGCTCCGCTCTGAGCAAGCTCTCCATTGCGCGCCGTCTGCTCGCAGCGACAAACACAACGTTAAACTCTCCCACCCCTGTCCCGTGTGGCCTCTAACAGACACTGTCGGGGTGCAAGGTCTACTAGCGAGCAGCAGCAGCGCCTGCGTTTTCTGGAAGACTTTGCTGTTTTTTCTTGGATTTTTCTGTTTGCGCGTAGTCACTTTAAGATGTTTCATGTTCATGTTTTTGTTTTTTTGCGGTTGCACCCTATTCAAGAGCCGAATGGCTCACAGGGCAATACCAAATAAATGAAACTGAAGGCCGCGACGGAGCACACAGAGAGGGGGGTAGGTGGCCAATGCCAAGCCGTTGCCTCCCTCCCAGCGGCGACGTTTCACGACAACACCGCGCCCAGGCTGTCGACCTCGCCGAGGCCCGCAACCGGTTCGGATGATCGTCGCTTGGATGTTGGGTGGCCGCGAGCGGGGATCGAACTCGGCTCGCCGGGTCGGTAGCGCCGCACTATGCTGACCACTACCAACCCAAACCCCTACTACCACCACCACCACCAACCCCTACTACCACCACCAACCCCAACCCCTACTACCACCACCCCCAACCCCTACTACCACCACCAACCCCTACTACTACCACCACCCCCAACCACTACTACCACCACCACCCCCAACCCCTACTACCACCACCAACCCCTACTACCACCACCAACCCCTACTACCACCACCAACCCCAACCCCTACTACTACCACCACCAACCCCTACTACCACCACCAACCCCTACTACTACCACCACCAACCCCTACTACCACCACCAACCCCTACTACTACCACAACCAACCCCTACTACCACCACCACCACCAACCCCTACTACCACCACCACCAACCCCTACTACCAACACCACCCCCAACCCCTACTACCACCACCACCCCCAACCCCTACTACCACCACCAGCCCCAACCCCTACTACCACCACCACCCCAACCCCTACTACCACCACCACCCCCAACCCCTACTACCACCACCAACCCCTACTAACACCCCCAACCCCTACTACTACCACCACCCCCCACCCCTACTACCACCACCACCCCCCACCGCTACTACCACCATCACCCCCAAACCCTACTACCACCACCACCACCCCAAACCCCTACTACCAACACAACCCCCAACCCCTACTACCACCACCAAGCCCTACTACTACCACCACCAACCCCTACTACCACCACCACCCCCAACCCCTACTACCACCACCAACCCCTACTACTACCACCACCAACCCCTACTACCACCACCAACCCCAACCCCTACTACCACCACCACCACCAACCCCTACTACCACCACCAACCCCTACTACTACCACCACCAACCTCTACTACCACCACCACCCCCAACCCCTATGACCACCACCAACCCCTACTACTACCACCACCAACCCCTACTACCACCACCACCACCAACCCCTACTACCACCACCACCAACCCCTACTACCACCACCACCCCCAACCCCTACTACCACCACCCCCAACCCCTACTACCACCACCACCCCAACCCCTAAGACCACCACCACCCCCAACCCCTACTACCACCACCAACCCCTACTACCACCACCAACCCCTACTACCACCACCAACCCCAACCCCTACTACTACCACCACCAACCCCTACTACCACCACCAACCCCTACTACTACCACCACCAACCCCTACTACCACCACCAACCCCTACTACTACCACAACCAACCCCTACTACCACCACCACCACCAACCCCTACTACCACCACCACCACCAACCCCTACTACCACCACCACCCCCAACCCCTACTACCACCACCACCCCCAACCCCTACTACCACCACCAACCCCTACTAACACCCCCAACCCCTACTACTACCACCACCCCCAACCCCTACTACCACCACCACCCCCAACCGCTACTACCACCATCACCCCCAAACCCTACTACCACCACCACCACCCCCAACCCCTACTACCAACACAACCCCCAACCCCTACTACCACCACCAACCCCTACTACTACCACCACCAACCCCTACTACCACCACCACCCCCAACCCCTACTACCACCACCAACCCCTACTACTAGCACCACCAACCCCTACTACCACCACCAACCCCAACCCCTACTACCACCACCACCACCAACCCCTACTACCACCACCAACCCCTACTACTACCACCACCAACCTCTATTACCACCACCACCCCCAACCCCTACGACCACCACCAACCCCTACTACTACCACCACCAACCCCTACTACCACCACCACCACCAACCCCTACTACCACCACCACCAACCCCTACTACCACCACCACCCCCAACCCCTACTACCACCACCCCCAACCCCTACTACCACCACCACCCCAACCCCTAAGACCACCACCACCCCCAACCCCTACTACCACCACCAACCCCTACTACTACCACCACCCCCAACCACTACTACCACCACCACCCCCAACCCCTACTACCACCACCAACCCCTACTACCACCACCAACCCCAACCCCTACTACTACCACCACCAACCCCTACTACCACCACCAACCCCTACTACTACCACCACCAACCCCTACTACCACCACCAACCCCTACTACTACCACAACCAACCCCTACTACCACCACCAACCTCTACTACCACCACCACCACCAACCCCTAATACCACCACCACCCCCAACCCCTACTACCACAACCACCCCCAACCCCTACTACCACCACCAGCCCCAACCCCTACTACCACCACCACCCCCAACCCCTACTACCACCACCACCCCCAACCCCTACTACCACCACCAACCCCTACTACCACCCCCAACCCCTACTACTACCACCACCCCCAACCCCTACTACCACCACCACCCCCAACCGCTACTACCACCATCACCCCCAAACCCTACTACCACCACCACCACCCCCAACCCCTACTACCAACACAACCCCCAACCCCTACTACCACCACCAACCCCTACTACTACCACCACCAACCCCTACTACCACCACCACCCCCAACCCCTACTACCACCACCAACCCTTACTACTACCACCACCAACCCCTACTACCACCACCAACCCCAACCCCTACTACCACCACCAACCCCTACTACCACCACCAACCCCTACTACTACCACCACCAACCTCTACTACCACCACCAACCCCTACGACCACCACCAATCCCTACTACTACCACCACCAACCCTTACTACCACCACCACCACCAACCCCTACTACCACCACCACCAACCCCTACTACCATCACCACCCCCAACCCCTACTACCACCACCACCCCCAACCCCTACTACCACCACCACCCTCAACCCCTACTACCACCACCACCCCCAACCCCTACTACCACCCCCAACCTCTACTACCACCACCACCCCCAACCCCTACTACCACCACCACCCCCAACCCCTACTACCACCACCACCCCCAACCCCTACTACCACCACCACCACCAACCCCTACTACCACCACCACCCCCAACCCCTATTACCACCACCAACCCTTACTACCACCACCACCACCACCAACCCCTACTACCACCACCACCACCACCACCAACCCCTACTACCACCACCACCCCCAACCCCTACCACTACCACCCCCAACCGCTACTACCACCACCACCCCCAACCACGACGACCACCACCACCAACCCCTACTACCACCACCACCAACCCCTAATACCACCACCACCACCCCCAACCCCTACTACCACCACCACCCCGACCCCTACTACCACCACCACCAACCGCTAATACCACCACCACCACCCCCAACCGCTACTACCACCACCACCCCCAATCCCTACTACCACCACCACCCCCAACCCCTACTACCACCACCACCCCCAACCCCTACTACCACCACCACCAACCCCTAATAACACCACCACCACCCCCCAACCCCTACTACCACCACCACCAACCCCTAATACCACCACCACCACCACCACCCCCAACCCCTACTACCACCACCACCCCCGACCCCTACTACCACCACCACCAACCCCTAATACCACCACCACCACCCCCAACCGCTACTACCACCACCACCCCCAATCCCTACTACCACCACCACCCCCAACCCCTACTACCACCACCACCCCCAACCCCTACTACCACCACCACCAACCCCTAATACCACCACCACCACCCCCAACCCCTACTACCACCACCACCCCCAATCCCTACTACCACCACCACCCCCAACCCCTACTACCACCACCACCCCCAACCACTACTACTACCACCACCACCCCGAACCCCTACGACCACCACCACCACCCCCTACTACCACCACCACCCCCAACCCCTACTACCACCACCACCCAACCCCTACTACCACCACCACCACCAACCCCTACAACCACCACCAACCCCTACTTCCACCACCACCACCAACCCCTACTACCACCACCACCCCCAACCCCTACTACCACCACCACCACCAACCCCTACTACCACCACCACCCCCAACCCCTACTACCACCACCAACCCCTACTACCACCCCCAACCCCTACTACCGCCACCACCCCCAACCCCTACTACCACCACCACCCCCAACCCCTACTACCACAACCACCCCCAACCACTACTACCACCAGCACCACCAACCCCTACTACCACTACCCCCAACCCCTACTACCACCACCACCCCCAACCCCTACTACCGCCACCACCCCCAACCCCTACTACCACCACCAACCCCTACTACCACCACCACCCCCAACCACTACTACCACCACTACCACCAACCCCTACTACCACCACCACCCCCAACCCCTACTACCACCCCCAACCCCTCCGACCACCACCACCCCCAACCACTACTACCACCACCACCACCAACCCCTACTACCACCACCCCCAACCCCTACAACCACCACCACCACCACGCCCTACTACCACCACCACCCCCAACCACTACTACCACCACCACCCCCAACCCCTACTACCACCACCAACCCCAACCCCTACTACCGCCACCGCCACCACCCCCAA